GCCCCGGCCCCGCCCCGCGTCCGCCCGCCCGCCCGCTTGCCCGCCCGCTTGCCCGCCAATCCTCGCAGGCCCCGCCCCCGCCTCGCCGCCCCGCCCCTCAGATCCGAGCGCTCCGCCCCGCGCCGGCCAATCGCAGCCCCGGGACGGTGCCCCCGCGCCGCCCTCGGCCCTCGGCCCTCGGCCCACGCCTGCGTCCCTCGCTCCCCCTCCCCTTCCCCGTCCGGCCCGGGAAGCGCGGTAGGGAGCTGGGGGCGGGCGTCCAAGCAGCTCTCAGTCCCGGGTGCCACGGCCCGGGCCTTGCACAGAAGCCGCAGCGCGCCGGGACCCCGCTGCCGGCCGGACTCCGAGGCCTCCGACCGCAAGCGAAACGCAAAGCGCTATACAAATGAGGGGTGACCCAGTTGCTGTCTGGTGGCGACCAGCGGCATCTCCGGCCCGGGCCCCTGGCCCAGATCGAAGTAACGTGGGGAATGCAGCTGGAACCCACCGGGGGTGCACACTCTCCAGCGGCCCACCCTGGGCTGAGCGAGCGCTGCGCGGGGACCCCAGAGCTCCTGCAGCTCACATAGGACAGGGGTCAGCCTGGGGGATCCAACCTGGTGGGCGGTCCTGGGAGAGGGAGCAGAGTTGCGGTTTGAAGGACAAGCCCCTCAGAGGGGCCAGGGCGAGGGAGAACAAGCGGGGAGGGTGCTCTGGGGCACCCTGGGTGCCCAGAGGGCAGGTCACTCTGCAAGGCATGAGGGGAGGTTTTCAGACTTAAAGGGAGGAGCCGGACACACAGGAGTGCAGGAGTCATCACTGGACACCCAGAGACAGGCCGCATGCAAGGCTGGCGGCCCACTCCAGGCCTAGAGTTCACGCAGGCCCCCCTGTCCTCCTGCCATGGTCCCATCTCCCTGGGCAGGGAGCAGGCCCGGCCTCACCGGCATGTGACATGTGCCCGTGACACATGTCACACAGGACCCCTCTCTGGTTTGACGCTCTGTTGCCACTGTCTTGAAATTCTCCATGATTTTTTTTTTATTATTTTTTATTTTTTGCGGTACGGGAGCCTCTTACTGTTGTGGCCTTTCCCGTTGCGGAGCACAGGCTCCGGACGCGCAGGCTCAGCGGCCATGGCTCACGGGCCCAGCCACTCCGCGACATGTGGGATCCTCCCAGACCGGGGCACGAACCCGCATCCCCTGCATCAGCAGGCGGACCCTCAACCACTGCGCCACCAGGGAAGCCCTCTCCGTGATTTTTGACCAAGAGGCCCTGAACTTCATTTGGCACCAGGCCCTCCCAGACACATCCACACAAGCCAGGTGACAGGGACACATGATGCTCCAAGGCCCCTTGCACCGGCGGTGTGGTGTGCACACATGCTGCCGTGCAGACAGACACACGCCAGGCGCAGCCTAGAAGTCAGAGGTGGGGAGACTCCCCTCAGCTGTGCCTCCACAGCCCACCCATTGGTGGGGGCCCTGGGGTGTGTGGGGAGGACCTCAGCATGGGGCCCAGATGCCTCCTCCCCATCGCCCTGGGCCTCTCAGCTCAGCAGGGGAGCCAGGCTTGGCGGAGAGTGGCCGCAGGCCTGGATGCACCCCGCACCGCGGACTGGGTCTTCCCAGTCACTGAGGCCGCCCACTGGTGGTGTCCACACCATCGGATGGTCCCAAAAACTGAAGTCCAAAAAGGGAAGGACTCGCCCAAGGTCAGCAGAACTCAGATGGGAGAAGAGAGGAAAAGAAGTCGGGGAATAAGGAGGAGGAGGAAGGTGGGGGCGGGGGGGAGGCCCGTCAGTGACAAAGTGACAGACTGAGAGAGTGAGAGGTGCTCGAGGTAGCACGTCTGGGGGACGTCTGCTGGGCTGGGGGCCCAGCGAGGTCTGGCAGCCCTGCGGGGCCCTGAGGACCACTGCACCAGCCCTGCGCTGCCCCGGCGGGCTCTGTGGAGAACTGCAGCTCAAGCCCCCAGGGCGGTGTCCTTGCAAGGTCCTCCCTGAGCCCAGCTGGCCCTGTTAGGGAGTGGGGACAGGAGAGCCCCAGCATCCCTGCCCTGCCCACATGCCAGCCAGCCTGGGGCTTCCCACAGTCCCTCCACCCTATCCTCCACCAAGGATTCTTTGGTGTGTCTGGACCCCTGGAAAGGGATACAACGGTGACCACGCACCAGGGGCCCAGTGGAGAAGTGAGCCTTGCAGGGCCCCCACCTGGGCCCCGTAGAGACCACTGGCCACAGCTCTGCCCAGAGAGCAAGTGGCAGCCGGTGACCCCTGGAGATCCTGGGGAACTCCAGCAGCCTCTTGCTACCTTTCCCTTGGCCCAGCTCAGCAGCCCAAGCCAGGGATGGACACTCAGGGCCCCGAGAGTCGCAATGCATGAGAGGGCCTGCGCTCAGTATGCACACTGGACACAGGAGGGCTGAGGAGGGCTGAAGGACATGTCTGTCTCCCCAGCCTGGTCGCAGGGCAGGGCCTCTGAGGACAAGGGTGAGGTCCTCCCCCCGTTGCCCGTCTTCCGCTTCATCACACTGCAGCTCAGGGCGGGGGTGGAAGGCTGGCCTGGGTTCCCACGATGGGGCCCAGCACCCAGGCTGCCCTCTCCCCAGCCTCACTCAGCCAACACCATGCCAATGCCCCCAGAACTCCTGCCAAGCCCTCTCCTGTTTCTAAAACCTGCACCCATCACCCCAGGTGAGCCTGTGAGTCTGAGCTGAGATTAAACCAGAAAACCACCAAGGATGCCAGGGACAATGGCAATGAGGACGTGAGTACATCAAGGCCACCAGTGGGGCGCTTCCCAGCCCCCAGGGACCCTGTCCTCAAAGTCCAGCCGTTCCTCCAGCAGTGGGACCCCGGTGAGACATGCTGAGAGGGTGACAGCTGGCTGGCTCAGCCTCGGTCTGTCCCGGGACCAGGAGAGTATCCAGCCAGCAAGGCCCTTGGGCCAGGTGTGGGGCAGACCAGGAGGCCACCCAGTGCTGCCCCCTCTGCCCCATGGGCCGCGACATACCTGGGCTTGCGGCAGGGAAGAACGTAGGCGGTGCCCGGCGCCCCTGGAGGCCGGCCAGGCGGCAGGTGAGCAGTCAGCAAGGCCAAAGCCGGAGCTCTGTGGAAGGAAGACGGGCAGAATGGAGGCCACGCTGCACCTCATTCCCAGCCTCTG